GTTTTTTAGGAAACTCCATTCTGTCTCTTGGGTCTTATGACGGCGATTGCTGCCACGAGTGCCGTTTCAGATATTAAGCTTCTATGGTCATAATGGAACAACAAATGGGAAGAAAATGACGCGCTGTTTCCCTCAACTTTTCCAAAGAAGCTAGATAGAACTCTTCACGGTAACATGGTCACGACAGGACGTGTCACTGTGAAGACACTCATGAATTAAAATTGGAAACGTTGTTTACACAACGAATAAGAGATACAAAGAATAAGAGAACTTTTACGGTTGAAATAATCTTCTCTTTAGCAATTTTAGTTCAATGCGTTCTCCGCTAAATTGCGCAAGGAGGATTTTTCGCTTGATCTGATATTAAACATAGCTGCTGACAAACGACTGACTGACTTTGTTGCAGAGTGAAGGTACTTAGAGAATATCACACTCTCTTAGCAAACTATTTTACGATGAATTTCTCTGCAAACACACTGCACAATGCTTTATTTCATCTTATCACAAGAAGAAACAGGCAATGAGGAAAAGTCCTCGTTTCATTCAATGGCACTGATGAAATACGAAGCACATACACCCTTTTTTTCGCATATCTGTTTATGTTTGGCAAACAAGGTGTTTGCCAAACATAAACAGATATGCGAAAAAAAGGTGTATGTGCTTCGTATTTCATCAGTGCCATTGAATGAAACGAGGACTTTTCCTCATTGCCTGTTTTCTTCTTGTGATAAGATGAAATAAAGCATTGTGCAGTGTGTTTGCAGAGAAATTCATCGTAAAATAGTTTGCTAAGAGAGTGTGATATTCTCTAAGTACCTCTAGGTGGCCTTTCCAAATGACTCCTATCCAATTTCAAAGAGCATTGAACGTTGGTTTGAAACCTGCCTTTGTTATCTGCCAATATCATTTTTCTATCATTTGAACGCCGTGTCATGAGCGTTTCTTGGGTTGAAAAACTAAATGCGCAACTGGAACAAAAACGTTCAGGATTGCTCAAGTGTTTCAGTGCGATTATCATAGCACTTCAGCTGCTACCTTCTGTCTAATACCACTCATGCAGAACACTGCTCTTTTTAAGCGCTGAAAGCCGTAGTCCCTGAACTTTACCTAGGTTCTACGTCCATATTTCGCTCCAAACACGATTATGACAGGGCGTTCAGAGGAGGCTTGCCAATAACGAACGTGGAATCAGCCTTTTGATGCTCTTCAAAGTATAAGGGTGAACGGCGAAAATAGGACAGCTTGATTTTTTATGATATTCTGAGATTTTTTTTGACCAAAATCAAACAGGCTGCAGCTCAAACGTCGCTTACACAAACGACTTTTCGCCTATTATTCTGATAACGCGTTAACGCTTCTCTCCCACAACCTCACGCGTGGCGTTGTGGAGAACTCAAACAGGGTTTTTTTGAACATCTCTCTCTTATGTTGCTATGCCATAAACTCATAAATCAATTGACTAACCATTCGAGATTGGTATATCAAATATATGAGATTCCTTTTTATTTTTTGATAAAAAAGCAAAAAAATTCCAAAAATGAGTTTTTCTGGCGCAATAAAAACCAAGAAATCATGATTTAATCTATATGCACCGAAGATACAATACCGCTCACAGAATGTGCAAAATTTCCGTAAATGTCGCAGAATTCCCGAGAATTCCGCGAAGGTTCGCGAAATTCCGGGGAATTTTGCGACATTCCCCGGAATTTCATGACATTCCCGAAATTTCGCGAAATTCATGTAAATCACGCAAATTACGCAGGGCCATAACTTCGTTCCGAATGAGTATATTCAAAATCCGAAAACAGCATTGTAAGTACTCCTGCGTTGATACCACTGCT